GTTTTCGCGAAGCCGAAACGAGAGTCTCTCTCTCTTTTCATCCTTTTCGCACGTGTGATAACGTCTCTCGACCTCACGACTCGTATACACGTCCCTTGCTTTGCGCACTCAAACAACGCTGGGCGAAATATTTGCACCGTGTTTTGTGAAAAGCATTAGCACTGAGACACCTCCCGACGAGTCTCCCTCATTTTACGTAGACATATACCTAAGCGTAAGCGTATGCACGTTCTCGCATTCCGGCTTTATAAAAATGCTGCGGTGCATGGAACCAGCGAAATTGCGCTCACAATTTCATTTGATTACTGCTGTTATCTATTTCCGCACAATTCGTCTGCAGGCACCAAAGTCGCTCATGTGTCTTGTAATAAGAATATTGTAACAAAGGCTACCTTTGACTATAGGTACAAAACACCCTTACGTTCACCACTATACCGTGCTAGATTGCATCGAATTAGTTAAGTAGCAGCGCAGCTTCAATGAAATGTAAAGTAACTGGTCGCGTTAAATAGGGGAAGACATTCGAGGCACATTTTCAAACAATGCATGCATCGATTTATGTGTGGTTTCATTTATGTGGTACACCTGGAGTGTTGTTTACTTGTACTTGGCGAGATAGTGCATGGATTGCTCGATGACTTAAGGCCATCGAGCAATTTCGTTTTTAGCTACAGTCGTTGATGAAAGGCGAGTGCTTGGCTTTGCACAGCCCGCCAAAACGCCTATTACAACGTACGCGGCATCCCGTAAGCGCTGTAGCAGACGCTCGCGGAACTGAAACTTAGATGCAGCAAATCATTGGCTGTCATCGTATACTCTCGATGCTAGACGGTTTGCGTGCTACCTTGATATTATCGGCACACACTTCTTTCTTTCCTTGTCGTTTCATCAGCTATCGTGTGTCCTCCTTGCCCTCTTAAGTGCCGAATAAGTTAAATTCATACCCGCGCTATAGTAATCCCTCCAGATGAGAGAACTTTTGGCTAAGAAAATGCGTAGCCAAAGAGAAAGCTTTGTGAATTCGGCCCCAGATTATCCGGCTACGAGTAATTTTTTTCCTCAAGTGACATCGAAAGTAGCAAGGTTGTTGTATTTATTCGCCGGGAGCTTACTTACGTCGTCCAGCCAGTGCAACCACACGACGGCAATCAGTATGTGTGCTTGTCTGTTAAAAAAGGAAAGGTGACATTCGCACTTCTAGGTGTGTATATATCCCCATCAAGTAAATTCGATGCCAACAAACTAGACGGCATATTAAGGGCACATCCGGGTCCGTGGGTTATCACTTGGGATTTCAATGCGCATCATCCCATCTGGGGAAGCTCAAGGCTTAATTCAACGGGACGACGTCTAGCATCATTGGTTTCCAGCCATGGTCTCGTCCTTCTGAATGACGTCAGTCCTACGTTTTTGCGAGGCACTACATATAGAAGCTGCCTTGATTTGTCCTTTGTTTCATGCCGATTCGCTACACGGGTAAAGCGGTTTTTGGACATTGAAACACACGGAAGCGACCACATCCCCACTCATCTGAAGAATAAAGGTATTTTGAACACGTACTCCTCTACCACAACACAAAGAATAGATTGGAGTGTGTTCAAAACTCAACTTGAGGATGCTTGTGAAGAAGGCCTGTCCAGTGGTCTTCAGCAAGCTATTAAGGAAACTGCACATGCGGCTACGCGCACAATAATATGCTCTTCGAAGTACTCTGAATTTGACCTCGAGCTGGAGCGACTTCGTGCAATCCGCCGTCGTGCCGAAAGACGATACCGACGCACCAATTCCACAGACGATCTACGAACAGCCCGGCGCATCCAAAAGAAGATACAACGGCGCCTGGACAAATTAGACACCCAACGATGGAGGAAATTTTGTGCGTCGCTAGATCCTCATAAACCACTGTCTCAGATATGGAGATTTGTGCGAGGCCTACGTTCGGTTCCAGAGCAGCTTTTCCTTTCAAAGCCCTTGCACTTTTTCATCGCCGGCACGAAATCGAGGTAGCAGAAGGTTTCTGCGCTACGACCGTGGGCCAGACAGCGTACACAAGCCTACATACAGTCAATCATATCCCTCACTCTCGGGACCCACGCATGGATCTACCGTTTACATCACAGGAGCTCGATGCGGTGCTCGTTTTATGTAATACGTCGTCGTCAACTGGCCCGGATGATATCTCATACAGGATAGTGTGCAACCTTGGTAAACGGGCACAAGAAGCACTCCTTAACATCTTCAACGATACCTGGCAAGCTGGCGTCGTTCCGCAAGATTGGAAGATTAGCCGCTTGGTACCGATTCTTAAGCCTGGCAAATCTCCCCTGGACATTGCCTCTTACCGACCGATCGCACTCTCAAGTTGCGTAGGAAAGGTAATGGAGAGAATGATCTTGGCCAGGCTTGAATGGTACCTAGAATACTATGAGATATATCCGAACGCCATGGCTGGTTTTCGCCGTCACCGATGTTCGATCGACACTGTAATAGATCTCGTCACATATGTCCAGCAACAAAAGGCATGTAAACGACTATCTGCTGCCATGTTCCTTGACGTAAAAGAAGCATACGACAACGTTCTACATGACGCCATCCTCGAAGCCATTGAGTCAGTGGGCCTAGGCGGGCAACTGTATTGTTGGACACGCAGTTATTTACAAGGGCGGACCTTATTTGTGAACACTGCAGATGGTCTAACCTCCCAACACCCAAGGCATCGTGGAGTCCCGCAAGGTGGCGTCTTGAGTCCAACCCTTTTCAACCTCGTTCTCATTGGTCTTGTAGAATGACTACCAAGTGTGGTCAAGTTATCCATGTACGCTGACGACATCTGCGTCTGGGCATCTGGCGTGACAAGACCTCAGGTATGCGCAAGACTTCAGAAAGATGTGACGTTGGTATCAATGTACCTCAAGGAGCAGGGTCTGAAAATCTCGCCAGCGAAATGCGCATTGGTTGCTTTTAGTCGAAAGCCAATGAGACCATACGCTATATCAATCGATGGTCAAGTCATACCATATGTCAGGACGCACCGATTTCTAGGCGTATTCATTGATAGAGACCACTGCTGGGGCCCACATGTGGCCCACTTGAAGAAGAGGTTGACAGAAATTGCTAAATTATTCAAGTATCTCAGAGGAAAAACCTGGGAGACTTCAGTACATGCAATGATGCAATTGTACAAGACGCTTTTTGTTGGCTATTTGCGCTACAGTTTGCCTGTGTTGACCAACACCTGTAGAACCAACATTCGGACTCTCGAAAGCATCCAGGCTATGGCTCTGCGAATTTGTCTGGGGCTACCGCGATGTTCATCAACAGCTGAGACAATCGAGATCGCTAATGACTGCCCGCTAAAGACGCATATCATGATGGAAGTGCTCAGAGCACACGTGAGGCATCTTACTCGTGCTCCTGCCCATCATCTAGCTTCACTGCCAAAAGCCCGACCTCGTGCCTCATTTTGCCAGACAGTTTTGTCATATCGCGCACGCATTCCTACGGGATATACAACTCCATCGAGGATTTCAACTCCCCCATGGAGTGTGACCTATGCACATGTTGAACTGACGGTTCCAGGCATAGGGTCAAAAGCCCGGCTTTCGTCTCCAGTGCTAAAGCAGCTTTCTCTTCTCTTGTTATATGAGAAATACAATGAGCATACTCATCTATATACTGACGCTTCAACTAAAGTGGATGGGTCTGCAGGCTCCGTGATCTTTCCTGCAACAGCGACAACGGTGAAGTTTCGTTTATCCCACCAGACATAATCGACAGCTGCGGAACATGCTGCTCTACGTAGCGCAATTCAAGTAATTAAACGCCAAGAAGCCAAGAAATGGAGTGTGTTCACGGACTCTAAGGCAGCACTACAGTGTTTGATATCCGCCTTACGCCGGAGACCTCATGAACAACTAGTGCTGGAAATTAGAAAGCTGCTTCACCACCTCTTCGACGAAGGACACAGAATCACGTTTCAGTGGCTTCCAAGTCACTGCGGCATATTGGGCAACGAACATGCCGATGCAGCTGCCCGAGCAGCACACGAAGATGGTGAAGAAGAATCTATACCATTTTCAAGGACTGATGCTGCAATGACCATCCAAAACATCGCTAATGCAGAATTAAAACCCCTGTGGAACGTTGAGTGCTTACGGCACACGCGACTGCATAGACTGGACGCGTCTCGTCGACTCCGGCCTCCGTCTGGATTCTCTCGACTCCAGACAACGGTGCTTTGCCGACTATGGCTTGGTGTCGCCTTCACCAAGGCTTTCGCCTTCCGAATCGGCATGGAAGACAGTGCTGCTTGCGGTCATTGCGGCAGCGATGAAACTATAGAGCACGTTCTCTGTCACTGCCCTCGTTACAGCGTGCAAAGACGGCAACTAGCTGCTGCGTTAGCTCGCCTTGACGACAGACCTTTGTCTGAACTATCAGTGCTGGAAAGACGACATGATTTGTGTGCTCAGAGAAAATCAGTGAAGGCCTTACTAAACTTTTTGCGTGGCAGCGGCCTATTGTATAGACTATAACACCCCAGCTCCCCCCTCCCCTTTTTTTTTGCGCGCGTCTATTTCCCTCTTCGCTTTCTTTCCAATCTTTCTTCCCCATTCCCCCCTCCCCTAGTGCAGGTTAGCAAAGCGGATGCTCCATTTTCTGGTTAACCTCCCTGCCTTTCTCTCATTTTATTCTCTCTCTCTCTCTCTCTACTTGTGGGTAACTAATATATATATATATATATATATATATATATATATATATATATATATATATATATATATATATATATATATATATATATATATCCTTGCCTTATGCTGCTATGCAACTTTTATTGTGCAAAACGGTTTGGCATTCCCGAATTTTCAATTTTCACAGTGCAGGTTTAGCAATGAGTTCAGCCTGGTTAGCCACCCCGCCTTTCCTGATGACTTCTCTCTCGCGCGCTTGCGTATGTAAAAAAGAAAGTGATGAAAAAAATCAAGTCAAGAGAGGAAGTTGTTCGCATGGCAGTTTATTGCAAAATGCGCTCTTGAAAAAACTTGACATTTTAATGTAGAAATATTGCACTACAATTTAGTATCAGTGTAGCTTGACTGCATCACGCACATTTGGTGTGTTAAGACTCTTGTATGCGCAGACTTCAGCGCGCACAATTGAGAGAAGTTTTTTCTGTTGCCATTGTAACAGAATGCATTGCGTCACCAGCCAGTGTTTAATCATATTTTGCAAGTCTAGGAAATGGATATAAAGAAATAAAAGTATTACTGACACTTGTATGCCCTTCCGGAATAGGTGTGACTGTTTTTTTTTCACACTTTATTCAAAAATGTACCTGGTGTAAAATGACTTAGGTTGCAAAAGTTACTTAGGTGAATAAACAAAACAAGAAATGTATAAAAATTATATACAAATACATTCATGGTGCAGAAATGGTGTTTGAACGACCTCAGCAATTCACATGTATTTATTTTAATTTGCCTGAAAATCTTGTGGAACAGTGCTGCACTCATTAACAGCTTCTATTTTTTAGCATGTGCAAGCGCGATTGATTCTTCTATTAACTTTGTGCGAATGCTTTAAATTTATAAGTGCGAGGTGGCAGAAAACTCATTCCGTAGCATTCAAACAAATGAGGCACTTGAAAGCTACAAGGTTCGTTGGCCTTCGTACAGATCTTTCTTGTGTACTATGTGGAAAGTGTGTGCCCACGAGCTTACGTAGCCTTCATTCTATAATAACGCCTTACGATCAGCCACTTTTGGTTAATTCCTCAACCGAGATTCGCCACTCTCACATCTCTCTTTTGAGCAAAACTCGAGAAGAGGGAAGACACCGTATGATTGTACGAATAGCAACAGACTATGGGGAAAATGCGTGTAAGTGATCTCAGCTCCGTCGCTTCTACGCGGTAGTGCCAAATTGTAAACAAAGGTAAAACAATACAAGAAGTTCGGTCGTCAACTGGTCATCGCAGGTAAAAAGCGAGCGAGTCATTTGTCAGTCCGGGACCAGTGGGCGGCCATCCATTTCGTGTGCAGCGAGCCAGGTTTCCGTGCTATATCAGAGGTGGCCCACGCAGCATCTCTGACGCGGTGTTGGCTAGGACCCACTGAAATGAGGTTGTCGCGCTCAGACGAACTGCTTGATCCAGGGGAGGAAGGCGAAGACTCTCGTGTATCCGCCGTACTGGTTAGCCACGGCACACCCGGACGGGCTCCCCCAACTGACGACGCCTTCGAGGATCCAGCGCCGTTCGGTGGTGACCGCGTCGTCGAGGAACACCATGGGACCGCCCGAGTCACCACTGCAGGCGTCCGACGTGGCGTTGGCGTGACCAGCGCAGAACATGGCCTCGGACACAGTGAGCGGCACGCCCGCGCGCTCGTACGCCTCTTGGCACTTCTCGTTCGCCACCACTGGAAGCACGGCCTCGCTCAGCACGTCAGCGTAATCGCCACTCTCTGTCAGGCCCCAACCGGTCACCTGGAGAGACAACATCGTGGCAATGAGTCGCCTTGCTATTCCATCAACGAAGTTCACCTCTCTACTCTAATAGCACTGTGACTGAAATGAATATGAGTAAAGGCGTCTCAGTGACTTGTCAGGAATGTGTGCAAACCATAACGATGAATAAAAGTTATACCACGATCTCGATTTAGAGGAGCAAATAGAAAATCGTTGCTTGAGGATCAGAGCACAAAATATAATACCCGAGTATATACTATCTGAAGTTTAGTGGGCCATAAGGAATGTGTGTACGTGTATGAAACTCTTGGAGGCTGCATGGAGGCGCATTGCTGTGGTAATCTGGCCTATGACTGTGTTTCACTATGCAAACGCAACATTTGCGGTGAGTCCGCATAAGCATGGTCTTTGAGACTGTTAACTGCAAGCGTTATGGCTTAGTACCTATCTTTAGTTTCAGTTTTTTCACGGTTTCTAGCCCTCAGTGGTTCGATTGTAGTATTCGTGGAAACTTCAAAGTGCCGAGCGTTGTCTTCTGCTCAGTTATTTTCTCAAGTACGTAAACTAAATAAGTAAGATAGATATTTGGTCCGTTTATGTACACTGTGAAAAACAAGTCTTTCAAGGTGAGTACGGGAGCAAATGCCCATTCACCCGCAGACTGCTAAAGACTAAAAAAATGCGCGTTTTTAGTCCTGAAGAAATGTATTCTGTTTGAAGTAGAAAATTGGAACTTTGCATATTTGATTCTTCGCCCCGCCTGCCTAGATTCGTCAGTGCTATGCAGACTCAACGATATAATTGCAGTGAGTGCGCTTACCACTCCCAGTTTTCCTTCCTGCAGATGTACTCTGGCCGATCGGTCCGTGGGCAGGCAGACGGGCCTCACGCGAGGGGTCAGCTCCACGGCCTCGTCCAGTTGCAGCAGCGCGATGTCGTTGTCGTATGTGGTGGGATCGTAGTCAAAGTTTACGTGGATTTCGGCAATCTGCGAAGCATTGAACGTTCAAGGCCACAGCCCGAGAAATGAAGTAAGCCACTTTTTGTACACAAAAATATTCAGAACTTCATATATATTTTTTGTTTTTTGAGAGAAGAAAAACACACTTAAAAACCTAAACATCGAACCCCACGTCCTTACTTCTCTCTTTTTGCAGTGAAACTACTTTTGCCTACCCTGTGCCGTCATCGTCGTCATCGCAATAGTTTTAGTAGTAGTAGTAGTAGTAGTAGTAACGTAAATGTAGTGGAAGGCGTCACGCAGATGAAGGGACCAGAGGGAGTAAATAAATAAATAATGCAAACTTATATTATTATTATTATTATTATTATTATTATTATTATTATTATTATTATTATTAGTAGTAGTAGTAGTAGTAGTAGTAGTAGTATTACGTTCCCAGCCTGACATCATGCTTGCTGTGCTCCTGCCCGTTTTTTATGTAAGCAGCAGTTTTTCCACTGTGAAAGTTGCTTGCTCTAATTGTGTTCTCTGAAGCTCGTCATCTAAGCGTGATGACGAGCTGCAACTTCTGAAATCTACATTACGCTCCTTCTACTGAAATTTGTGTGATCTGAGCCATGCTGATGCGTAGCCTAAAGAAGACGACTCAGTGGCAATGTTCAGTCATTTTTTTTATTTTATCGCTATTTCTGAAACTTCGCTGGACCCTGCAATCCCCTCGTTTGACTTTTCCCCCACTTTCACCACCTTCCGCAGCGACCGAGATTTCGGTGCAATCAAACAGAAAGGCGGTGGCATGCTCATTGCCATTGACAGTTAGCTGAAGTCTGTTAGACGAAAGACCAGGAAATCAGCATGGAGCACTGAAAAATTTATTTAGATGTTTTTATTTACCGTCCAGCATTCCCCCTGCCTTGTTTCATGATGTCGTGTCTTCCTTTGAACACGTGATTTCGGCTCATACTAGGCACAAAATTACTGTTCTGGGTGACCTCAATGTGCCTGGAATTGACTGGAGCACGCTCACCTTTTCTCATTATGATCACTTCATTGAGGAAAGGTGCAGGCTTCTCCAAAATTTTCTGGCGTTGAACTCTCTACCGCGTCATAACAGAGTCGTCAATTGCAGAGACAATTGTCTGTCTGTCACACGATGAACCCGTTCGAGTTTCGCGCTTTGACATCTTTTTTGCTCGTCCTGTCGAATTCCACTTACCACTTAATGTAAGATCACCTGTTACCACTTAATGTAAAATCATCTGTATGTGCCTAAACAATGAACTACAGCAGTAATTTTAACCAATCTCTAAGATTTCTTTTCAAGAGAGGTGACTACACGGGCTCTCATCATTACTTGTCACCTATTGATTGGTCACAGGTTACTGACAAAACAAATTTTGATGGCCAAGTTGAGCAGTTTACGGAGCTTGAGTCAAGTAGCATGCATATGTTTATTCCACAGTATAAATCTAAACATAATAAATATCCACACTAGTTCTCCCCTGAACTCTTAAGTGCACTGAAGCATAAAGGTCGCATGCACAATATGGCTAAATTTCCTCCATTCAGCAAGTGGAAGGAAGAGTTCAGCGTCTTCCTAACTCTCTTTAAACACCTATATAAACAAGACCACAGTTCATATATTGCATTACTGGCCACCCAAGTTTTGCATTATAGTTCATATATTGCATTATATGACACCTGTGTTTTGGAAGTATGTACGCAAACGGTCTAGTTAAAATGGAGAGTACTTCAAGCTAATGAACTCGCACGGTGTTGAAGTGCATGCCATCACTGACTGTGACTGTTTTTTCATGCATATTTCATCCGTTTATAAGGCCTCAGACTCTAGGACTCAGAAAAAACAACAGCCCAAGGCAGTTGCACATCTAGTGGTCGGTCGCTAAATGACAAGCTCATCTGCTCACGCATTAGGCACTTAATATCATCCTTATCGTGTGGCACAGAGGGCATCCTTTCCTCCATACTAAAGGCTTATGGCATTATATTCACACCAGTACTTACTACAATATTTATTAACTGTCTGAAGGCTTCCACATTTCCCAGCATGCGGAAAACTGCACGTGTTATTCCAGTATTTCAGTCGGGCTGCAAAACAGCTATTTCTAATTATAGCCCGATTTCTCTACTGTGTACCACATCAAAAATCTTTGAGCTGGCTTTTGACAAGATATTGTATGTTCTAATTGAAACAAGTTTCTCCTTGGCTGCTCAACTACCCCCAATCTTGCTAGTTTGACGCAAATCACCCCACCTAATTCTCAGAGAGGATAGGTTGACGTAGTCTACTGTGACCTGAGCAAGGCTATTGGCGTAGTCAGCTACTATTTATTTTTGGTTAAACTTGCAAACTTTCACGTTGACTCATCTGTTGCAAATCTCTTGCACCGCTACCTGCTTAATAGATCATGCTATGTTACCGTAAATGGCCAAATATCTTCCTTGTACAAAGTTATTAGTGGGGTGCCTCAAGGGTCGGTATTAGGCCAATCCTTATATTTATTTACGTTAACGATGTTTACTTTGCCATTCCTTATCATTCTTTTGCCCTATATTACTATGACATCAAGATATATGATGAAATTCATTCAGTCAACAACCATCGCTTGCTGCAGTCAGGTTTGTGATTTTTCTTTGAATGCTGTGACAACATTATCCTTTCTTTAAATACCGCAAAGATCAAATTCATGAGTATATCTTGCAAAACAACTATCGTATCATTTTCATACTAAGTCCTTCTGTAAGGTTTATGAGTACAGTGATCTCGGTGTTCTTTTTGAAAACTTGCTAATTTTTTCTGCTCACCCTAAACAAGTTGCCGTGCGTGGCCTTCGTTCTCTCGGCTGTGTTTGCGGAATCTCTCGAGGATTCAGTTCTCGTATAGCCTTCCACAAATTGTACACCGTAATATGTCTTCCTCAACTTGAGTATGCATCTGTGATCCGAAATCACATTGATAAATTTGTCAATGACGCCACTGAGCGAGCTCAGAAAAATGGATAAGCAATTACAACCAACATTTAGCTAGAAATGACTCTGGATCTGGTTCTAATATTGCCAGGTCATTATTGCTGCCATCACTTCACTGCCGACAAAATCACGCTGACCTGTTATTTCTTCACAAACTAGTTCACGGTTGATATCCTGCCTTTCTCAGTTGTGTAAATTTTCAGATTCCACGTGAGTCAACTATAGAGAATCGACAATTTCATGTTCCTGCCAACTTCTTTCAACACTATACCGCTCACAAAAAACAAAGCCTCTATAATGTTAAATCTATGATCCTGATGTTTTTGACTATCCTCTGTTGATTTTTTATCTCAGTTTTGCACTGTCTTAACATGGTTTTTCACGGTATGCAGATTCTTATATGTACGGTCTCTAAGGAGGGCCTCTACATAGTTGTGTATTGCCCTTTATTTTTCCCTCCCATTCCATGATTCTTGTCTAGTGTTTTCATTCTTCCCATTTTCGCGCTGATTTCTGAATAATGTCGGTGCGCTTTCACTTTTTTATTTGACTTTTTGTCAAGATTTTCTAGACTGTATAGTTTATTTTTGCATGTGCCTGCACTAAGACCTCATGGTTGTTCCGAAGCACGTTAAAAAATAATTTATTATTACATTATTATAATTGCTATTATTATTGTTGTTGTTGTTGTTATTGTTGATATTATTATTCGTAGTAGTAGTAGTAGTAGTAGTAGCAGCAGCAGCAGCAGCGTAACGAATGGCATACGCTCGCGAACATATACATCTTCATTGTACGGTGGTTTTCACTTTTTTTAACGTTGTCTGTGGCACTGCTTCACCGCTAGGCTACCATGGATGAGTTGAATTATCTTACCTGGCGCACTTGGACATTGGCGTCGTCTTTGCTACCGCTGCGGAAGTGCTTGCCCAGCGCGACGCGCAGGATCTCGCGCGGTATGACGACGCGCGACGCCTCATACGTGACGCAGTGGGCCGCGGTCACCACCCAGGTCTCCGAGAGCAGGCTGCCGCCGCAGTTGAGGACCCACTCGGCGGCACTGTCGTTGGACGCAGGATTTCGCACACTCAGCGCCGCCTGCCACGGCCACTGGCCCACGTCCGACGCATTTCCGTTGTAGATGAGCGGACTGCGTGGGGAGTCCGACCGGCCGCACACTGCAACGCGCAAATCAGTGGTTGTCACGGAGTGGAAAAAATAGTCACGCAATCACTTCACGCTCGATTCCGCTCTTTAAATTATTAACTTATACTAATGTAATGATGGAATAACAGCAAGGTCCTTTCATGATCACTTAGGCAGCCACTCACCGGGAATGCAAGTGGCCGGCAAACCACTCCATTGTCCGGACGACAGGCACCGTCGCACTGTGGAGCCAGCCATCTCGTACTGCGGCTGGCAGGCGTACTCAGCGCGGGAGCCGACGCGGTGATGTCCTGGTGGCAGCACCAGGTTGGCTTCCTCGGCCGCCCTCGTATCATTGCCATCGTACGCCGTGGAGCTGAGGCTGAGTGGACGCTGGAGACGTATGGGCACGGACCCCCGCGCATGCCTGCGTGCACACCACCTCATCCCTCATTACTGGGATCGGAATACGTTCTCTCAGTTAACTGCACTCGCCATGACTTCATTATTTGACGTAAGGCTCTAGAAACAATCAAGCCCGGTGAGTCCACTCTGGCTGCAAAAGCGAGGGTTACATCTGCCTATTACTGCTTAGCATGTAATCGAATAACTTTTTTGTTGGCTCATTGTTGTGTCCGTGTGGTCGAGATACCTGAAAATGGCGCTGACTCGTAGTCGTTGCGCTAAGTGGTTGATTACGAGGGCGTGCTATTCGTTTTAGAGCTGTCCCTCCTTCGTGACGGCTTGGGTCAATTCTGCGATACCGCTCACCCATGATATCGAGTCAGTACAGCCAACATGCCTTTGTATGTCATTCTAGTACCCTTCCGTCAACATTCTTATACCTTTGGCTAAGGCTCGACCACATCCAAGTATCTCTCATTCTGGCTATAATATATTTCTTCGCTCGTACTGATTAATGCCAGCAACATTACTGCTTTTACGAACTCTAAAAGAGAGATAGAAGGATTAATGCCACCAGTCTCAAATAGCAGTGGTTTCCTTAGCTACTCGGAAAAATACTGATCAATATATCGGAATACGCATTATGTTTAGAGGATACGATGTGATCTCGCGAAGAAACCTCCGCTATGCCTGAAATTATTAGAGGACTGGAAAGTCCACCCAAAAAGAAGGGCCCAAAGCGCCCCTAGCAAAGCTGGGAAGCACGCGTGGGCCGTGCATGCATACTTATTCGTAAGTCCCGCCAACGATTCATAACATTCGTACATAATGTTTGTCACGCTCATAAAATCAACGTTGGTCAGAACAAGTGACCAAGTGAACCGGTTACGGGCCATCTTTTTTATAGCAAATTTTGTCGTCATTCTTTTTCTTCTTTCTTTTACTTTTTTGCCTCAGCGCTCTTTTTTATATTTTTCTTGAACGCAGGAACAAATCGTTGGTTCCAACAACATATAAAAAATTTAAAAAATATAAAAAAATATCCCACCCACGTGCCGGTCCACGCCTGGGATCACCACCGCGTATTGGGGGAAGCACGCGGATAGTACCGTGACTTGGAACTTCAGGCTCTCCGCAAGTGACCACTGCAAAAAGAGCGGTACGCACGTACAGACTTAAAAACCTCGCAAAAGAAGCTACTGACTGTCCGGCGCAAGCCAACAAAGCAAAAGTATGTATTTGAACGTTTTTACTTTCCAATACTTACTAATCGTGATTATATCACTCTAATAATGTTATATAATGCATTCAAGTTGTATCGTGTTATCATAAATAAATGCTATTCTTCACCAGCCAACAAACTTCGGCCACCCGACTTTCATGTATGGTTATAAGTGCTTTAAAATTGAAAAAAAAAAACGTTAAAAAATAAGAAACATTGTAGCTTCTCCTTTCACTCTTCTGAAATGACATATCGAAATAACACGCATTGCTATACATCTACTACTTGCGATGCATCTGCAGAGCATCCGATATCGGTGTGGCGATGCAGGTTTTTTTTTTCAAAAAGAACAATCACACAATGCTAAGTTTTTACGCTAAAACCAAGATATCGTTATGAGACACGCCATTGTGGGTGACTCCGGTTTGATACCTACCCCTTGCGGTTCTTGTATGTGCACCTATATCTAAGTAGAGGGGTGTTCTTTGCGCACTGTCCCCTTCGAAATGCGGCTGCCGAGGCCGGCAACAAGCCCCGCCGCGGTGGTCTAGTGGCTAAGGTACTCGGCTGCTGACCCGCTGGTCGCGGGATCGAATCCCGACTGCGGCGGCTGCGTTTTCGATGGAGGTGAAAATGTTGTAGACTCATGTGCTCCGATTTTGGTGCGCGTTAAAAAAAAAACCAGGTAGTCAAAATTTCCGGAGCCCTCCACTACTGCGTCTCTCATAATCATATGGTGGTTTTGGGACGTTAAACTCCATTTATCGATCGATCAGGCTGGCAACAAAACCTGCCCACTGGGTCTCAGCAAAACACGTGACCCCTATACGTTCCAAGTGACCACATCAGGCACCCGTCGTTCAGCAGTTAGAATACATCTGAATTTCCACCGTGGCTATTTCAGTGCTATACTCGACATTACTACGTCCGTTTACTTTTCTTCTGAGAATTCTTAGGAAATTACAAAGCCTTGACGGCCTTTTTGTGTTGCACTTTTCTTGGGCGAATGAGATTTCAAAATACACATGGATGTTTTACGTTCTATATCCCTCCAAGAATGTTATCTCTCACATTATTAGTACAACTAAAGTTATAAACATGAGGGAAGAAGCCAAAATTGTTATAGTGAACTTATAAAATTCATGGAACTCGTTTAAACCCTATAGGAAGTATTTTCTTAATGGCATGATTTGGCCGCAAAAGAGACACACACAAGAAAAGGAACACTCAAAAAGCCGCCTGTGCTTGTCGTTTTGAGTGTTCCTTTTCTTGTGTGTGTCTCTTTTGCGGCCAAATCATGCCATTAAGTAAATACCAACTAGGCCAACAATCAGTATTATTTTAGAAGTATTTTCACCGTGTTGTGGTGCAAGCGTTTTCTCTGCATTGATTGTTCAAAAGCATGACCGAAGTTAAACCACGCACCGGGAATGCAGCGAGGCTTCTGGGCGCTCCAGGTACCGTTGGCGGTGCACGTGAGCCTTGCCTCTCCACTGAGGTAGTGCAGCTCCTTGCAGTAGTAGGATATCCGGCTTCCCTCAAGGAAGCGTCCGTGAGCAGTCTTCTCCACCAGCGCCGAACCACCCTTGACTGGGCCTGGGTCCTCGCACTGGACTATATACGCACGACAATGGCAACGGCGATCATATTGATGTGACCTACATCACGTTGCTTCACGCACGAGTGCCTCTTCTTTCTCCCTTCACCATCCTAATTCGGTGTGTTACCGTTCATTCTGCTTGCTCGCTATCTACTCCCCAACTGAGCAGACATATACCGATAGATTGTCAAAGATACTGGATCCAGTGTGCAAGGGCAGCAAAATAGTAACACACTGAGAAACGCTCAAGCTGGTTGTACATCTCGATATCGCAGTAAAATACACATATATGTTCGATTACTACGAACTTAATATTGTAATTAGTACACGAAAGTTGTATATATTCACGGACTGACTGGTAATTAGTTAGCACTAATTTTAGCTAATAGCGCAAAGTGGACTTAACCTGGCTAAAAGCAATAATAGCGCCTGTTTGGGCTACCCCTTTAGGGCTGTAACGTAAATTACCAGCCTATCAATTTTAAATAAAAGTGCTTTGAAGCCGAGCAACCTTAAAGGTTACATAACAAGCAATCAATTGCAATTACTGTCTTCGCAACTGTAGTTCATTGTAATGAACAAGTGATACGCCAGAAACAAGTTGAGAAGTTACTCAAGCAATGAATACTCCTGGATTACTTTTCTACCAATAGTTATCAAGGTTGTACGAAATCCATAAGTACTAGAACAAGGTGGCCTGTTTATAACAGTGCGTCCTTTTTAGCCCATCAAATCTTGTTATTCCACAGCAATAACTGCTTCTCATATAACTCGTTGGTCATCTTCCATTGTTTGTTTGTAAAGACATCAGCAAGGATGTCGGAAACCTGCTTGATGTGCGCGCTGGAGAAAAAAAGAAGGCAGTGTGTGCGAACACTTTATGCACGAGATTGTGGTTACGTTACCGCGAGGCTCACGCTTTGGTTCCCCATAAAGTGTAGTGAATTACAGTTGCTGGGGCTCGTGGAAGGCACCCCTGGTAGTGTCAATTATAAGCTGCAGAAGCCATCGCTATTGAGCCATACCAACGCTGGTTCATATAACTGGCAACCACTTAAAGAAACAAAGGCAAAGCCATTGGGTTTTGCTGTATAAATTATCAATTTAAATTAAATTTAAATTAACTTGCCCGCCTATTTCTTTTACTTCATGGTATGACCTATGGAGGTTCTGTTGAACAGTTCTCGCCAAATTGAAGTGATCAAAACTGTTTCGCCTTTATAGCTTCTCGTTACACAAGTAACAGGCAACATTCAATGATTTACTTTAGAAAGTATAATCGAGTTCGAGTGAGCAAATAAAAATAACGTAATTCGTTAATTCTGAAACAAACAAGTGCAACTGGCTACGAATTGGTAATTACATGTAATTCGTTACGTAGAAGTCCGAAGTCGCCCCAAAGCACGCAAGAACTCGAAGATGTTATTGTTCTCACCTAGCTTTAAGGTCTTAAGCGCAAAGCAAATGACGGGAAGAGCAAGATCACAAGGCCTTGTAACGACTTCGGGCTGGCTCGGGTTAGCAACACTTGTAGCCATGCAGCTGCCCCCAGGGGTGCCACTGGTTTCCGGGTTCAACAGGAATGGCGATTGGACTTGCAGCTCTGTGAGCCATGTTTCACCGATTCCTGCAGGTATAGCGCAAGTGATTTAACTTGCAGGTTATTGTAAACACGCAAGGGCGAAGACTCCTACTATATTATGGTATCACTGCACCAACTCTTGAAACACTATTGTAACTGTGCATTCCTGTTTAAGAATTGAAAGGATCTTTATTGAGTTTGTACTTTTGTGGTGAAGCTAGTTTTATTTATTAACAGAGGTAGGCTTCAAGCTTTTTACCATATTCTTAATATTAGACTGCCAGCCCATTAACAAATCTATATTATCGTAGCATGCTATCACCCAGTTGCCGGTAAAATGTAAAAAATCAAGCGCTTTCAATCTCTCAACGCTACCCTCCACTTAGGGCCTAGAGAATAGTTTGTGTTTCTAAAAAATGATAATAAAATTGTTATTTAAGGGAACATGCTACTAAAAAAAGAAACCGGTTATTTAATGTGTGGCCTAGGGCAGCGACATTCTTGCTGTTTGCGCGATTTTCAGGCTGATTTGAAATAGGTAATCAGTTTTGTAGTGAGTTGCATAGTTTTTGTCTTGTAACATGGCGATGTGTAAAATGGAGCTCTTTTCGGACACATTTTATTTGCCCTTAAGCCTTTAACGTTATGAGTCATAATGGCTCATACTGCTCCACATTACCTGTACAATGTTAATAACAAAGAAGAAAGCATGTACTAGGCATATTAATTAACAAAAATTGTACGTTAGAAAGTCTTAAAATGCTGCGCCCATATTATTGTTTTGTTTAGGTTCATAATAAATATACAAAACATAGCAGGTTTTGAAGAAGATAGTTGTGCTCTTTATGTGTTAAAAAATGTTTGTAAAAATTTTCTTCATGATCTGGCCATCAGAAATACTGAAAACATGATGTCCGAATTAAAAACGCTGCGGAAAATTGCATCCTGCGAACAACTCATTTTAAACATAGAAATTAAAGCTCATCTATGTAGCGAAAATGTGGTTTTTAAAATTATTTCTTTATGTGAGCGCTAAGGAATTATGATTATATTGAGCATGTGCCTTTGGTGAACTCCTCATGCAAAATACAATTGTAAGCAGCCCGGCTACAATTTATAAGGGAGTCTATGCAATCAGCGTTCTTTAGTATCTAAGAACCACCTTGTGCTTTTTAAAAGTCATTTTAACTGCTTCCAGTTTGATTACAACCTTAATTTTTTATCGCAAAAGTTGACAAACCAAGCTTGTGAAAGCAAGTAAAACCAAAGTGCTTTTCCTGTAAAAAAATACTGGAGTTTTTCGAGTAGCATCTCCCTTTGAGAGGCTAATTTATGAAATGCATCGTTAATGCGGAAGGTATTTGTAGCGCACTTTTATTGAAATATACGCACAAATCAATAACATTGAGTTTTATTTCAACAAATAGAAAAGGGAAATACCTTTAGCGACCATAAATTCGGCCACAAGGGCCTTGGTAGCGTTGTCTCCGCGAAGAATTATAGCTTGACTTCCTAGATTTCTGCAAAAATTCCGCGCCGGTGCTTGAGGACGGCTTTTTCCAGCAGAGTAAAAACAGAAGCTCCCGGAATCTGTCCACCTCGGAGGACAGCCTGCGAAGAGGAAATAGTTACAATGCAGAAATAGTTTTGTCAATGAATACAATAACGAGAATGGGGTTACTAGACAACTAAGTGAACTAAAAGAAAGCAGACTGAATATGAAATTGTTATAGAACTGTAAAATAAGGACGGAGGATTATAGACCCTTCTCACGACTGCTGCATTTAAAAAGGGTTGAAAAGTGAAAATGCTGACGAACTTACACTTAAACACGCATTAGGAAATTCCGACATTTCAGAGAGAGAGAGAGATAAAGATGCAAGGAAAGGCAGGGAGGTTAACCAGACGCACATTCGGTTTGCTACCCTGCACTGGGGAAGGGATAAAGGGGACAAAAGAGGTATCAGAGAGATGAGAAGGTACACACAATCACGAGCACACTCGGGGAGCACACACAGTCTACAGGCGGTCGCTCGGGTTTGTTGACTTTAGGTAAATTAGCAGTGCTTTAGTTGCTTTCTGCGCAACTGAGGCAGATGCCCAAGGTCCTAGTATCTTCTGCACACAAAATGGTCCGGGGTCAAGTTGATTCAAAACCATCCGGAGCTGGCATCGCTGTGTGTCGTAGCAAGCGCAGCTGCACAGGACGTGTTCGATGGTCTCTTCAGCTCCGCAGTAGTCGCATGTAGGAGTGTCTGCCATACCAACGCGGAAGGAGTACACCTTTGTAAATGCAACACCCAACCAAAGGCGGCATAACAGTGTCGCATCGGAGCGGGAAAGTTGTGATGGTAACTTTAGCTTGAGCGAAGGATCCAGTTCATAAAATTGACACCTTTGGAAGCTCGTAGACGACCAGAACGTGCGTGTGAGATCTCGAGCCAGCAGGTAAAGTTGTCTTGCTGCATCATTCCTTGATAGAGGAATCGGGACTACACCGGTTTCTTCATGGACTGAGCAGGCTGCATCATCGGCTAATTGATTTCCGGTAATACCGATATGTCCATGCAGCCATTGATATATAATATCATGCCCTCGTGCTAGAGCTTCATGATGGCAATGTCTTATTTCTTGTACCAATTGGTCATGACTCCTCCTACGTATGGCAGACTGCAAACTCTGAAGCACTGCCTTCGAATCACAGAATATGACCCATTTTCCTGGACGTTCTTGAACAAGATAATGTAAAGCAGCCCTTATAGCAGCAAGCTCTGATGCCGTAGATGTAGTCATATGCGACAACTTAAACTTGATTGTCATTGCTGCAGCCGGAATTGTAGCGGCACCTGATGAGCTGCTGGACGAGACGGACCCATCAGTGTATATCTGCGTTCGGTCTAAGTACAACTCATGTAATATTAGCAGTGTTGCTTGCTTCAATGCTACTCTGGAGTGATTGCTTTTCTTTTTGATTCCCGGAATTTCTAGACGTACTTGCGGCTGGTCGAGGCGCCACAAAGGACATGCCATTCTCGCAGCTGGCGTATATCCAGATGGAATGCTGTTTAGGTGCTTGGCTATGACGTCTGAAAACGTAGCACGTGGTCTTCTGGAGGATAGAAGGGCGAAGTGGTGGTCGGGGACACGGCTAGCATGTCGAATGTGCGCTCTGAGGCAATCCACAACTCTATATGTCCTGACCGGATGGTCTTTGGCAAGCATGATTGTGGCATAAGTAGAAGCGCATCGGGGCAGTCCTAGGCAGATACGCAGTGCCTGACCCTGCAAACTCTCCAATGACTGAGTATTGGATTTGCAAGTGTTAGTCAGTACCGGCAAGCTGTAGCGCAATAGACCCAGAAATAGAGCCCTGTACAGCTGTAGCATGGAGGCCACAGAAGTTCCCCATGCTTTCCCGCACATGAATTTCATTATATGCACAATAGATAGCAGTCTCTTCTTCAAGTACGCACAATGCGGGCTCCACGTAAGACTTCTGTCGATTATTATGCCCAGGAAACGATGCGTCCGTGCATATTTGACACTCTGTCCATTGATGTAAACAGGGTATGGCGTCATTGGTTTGCGTGTAAACGCCATCAAAGCGCACTTCACAGTTGATATAGTTAGGCCTTGTTTCTGAAGGTAGGCTGTTGTGAGGGTTGCTGCCCGCTGTATTCGTGTACGCACCTGAGGGCGAGTAACTGCAGCACTCCAGAGGCAAATATCATCGGCGTATATGGATAGGCACACCGACTTTGGCAGAACCTTCACCAGACCAATGAGGGCAACATTGAACAATGTGGGGCTTAAAACACCGCCCTGAGGTACTCCGCAGTAGGTGTAATGTTCAGCAGTTGTACCCTCATATGTTTGCACAAAGAAACCCCTGCCAGTTATATAATATTTTATGCAATGAAACATTCGTCCACCAATGCCCATTGCTGCGAGAGAAGTGAGGATGGCATCGTGAGCTACATTATCATATGCACCCTTCACGTCAAGAAAGAGTGCCACTGATATGCGCTTGCGACTTTTTTCTTGTTGTACAAATGTCGATAAGTCAAGCACACAGTCGATGGAGGAGTGGCCCCGACGAAAGCCTGCCATGCAAGAAGGGTATTTGGTGTATCGTTCCAAGTACCACTCGAGACGAAATAGAACCATTCTTTCCATCACTTTCCCGAGGCAGCTTGCGAGGGCAATATCAGTGGCACTCTTACGCTGCCAAGTCCAATGGTGATTTTCCCGATTTCAAAAGTGGTATTAATCGACTTATTTTCCATTCTCGGGGAACACTGCCGCTTAGCCAGGAGTTGTTGAAGCATGTTAAAAGTTCTTTTCTGGCTTTTTGTCCAAGGTGTCCCAACGCACTATAAGTAATACCATCAGGACCTGGCGATGACATGCGCTTAGAAGCGACTAAAGCACCTTCCAGTTCCTCCATGGTGAATGGAATGTCCATTTCTGGTAATCGCGTCTCAGGAACGATCACGGCGTCGATGCTCTCGTTCATAATATTCCCGGCAACTCTCGTGCAAAATTCTTCAGCCACCTCGAAATCTGTTTTTCCATGATGGAGTGCCAAAGCTTTAAAAGGGTGCCGTTGTTGCGGAGAGGAGCGAAGACCACGAACTGTTTTCCAGATATATGACAGCGGTTTATGGGGGTCTAGAGATTCGCAGAATGTTTTCCAGCGTTCGCTCTCCAGCTTGTAAATGCGTCGTTGAATCTTTTTCTGGAGCCGCTTTGCTTCCCTCAGATCGTAAATTGATTTTGTGCGTCTGTATCGTCGTTCAGCACGCCTTCGTATAGCTCGTAATCTTTCCAGTTCGATGTCAAACTGTGTTATTTTAGACGAAAATGGTAATTTACATTTGGACGCTTGCATAGCTTCCGCTATGGTATTTTCCAGGCTGCAGGCGAGGCCTTCTTGGCAAGCGTCCTCAACACGCGATGTAAACATCGACCAGTCAGTGCCAATTACAACACCGGAAGAGAAATTTTTTATGATACCATCGATCGTCACGTAGGTGGGTATGTGATCACTCCCATGAGTCTCAATATCGCAAAACCATTTAACTTTGTGAGAGAAGCACCGTGACACCAATGTCAGGTCAAGGCAACTGCCATACGTGAGACCCCGCAGATACGGGGGGGTACCATCGTTCATGATGGAAAGGTCGTAATCGGAAGCGAATTTAACAATGTTCCGGCCACTGGCATTCATCCTAGTGCTCCCCCAAAGCATGTGTTGGGCGTTGAAGTCACCGGTGATGATCCAAGGCCCGTCGGTCCTCATTAGGATGTCTTTTAATCTGTCGCAGTCAAATCGCGATGACGGAGATATATATCCACCAATAAACGTGAACGAAACTGCATTCTTCTTTACACGAAGACACACGTACTGATTGTCGTCATTTGAACTTATTGGGCGCGAAAGATAAGTCAAGTCTGTGCGAATGTAAACAATTACTTTGCTTCGTTCTTCGCAAGCGGCTGAACAAAAAGCTTCATAAATGGACAATCTATAAGGCGTTGATACGTTTGGTTCACATATGACAAGTATAGGGAATTGATTGGCCCGGACAAAGTGGCGAAAGTCCGAGATACGGGACTTCATGCCTCTGGCATTCCACTGAAAAATCGACGCACTTTTAACTTCACTGCGACAGATGAGACTTTGTTGAGCCATTGTGCTTATACGAAGTTAGTAAGAACTGGATTCAGTGCATCCAGTATTTGCAGTGCACTCTTAGCAGACGGAGATTGTATGCTGCTCAGTAGCGTCCGAATCGTGGCAATTAATGATTGCACGATTGCAGTCACTTGCCTGTCTTGGTTGGAAAGATCTCGAACCGGGATCGTGGACTGGCCGTCATGAAACTCCTTCGGATCGCTTGATGCTGCTTCCCTTTGAAGTGCAGGCCACTCTGTCGCAGTTAGGGTATGCTGACTGGCTTTGTCCTTTACAGCCTTTCCCACGGCATGTGGTCTGGGAGGCAAAGGAAGTGGTACTGATGAGGGATCTGGCAAACGTGTCGAGGAGGTAGCGGGCGTCCTTGAAGACCGACGTCGACGTGAATGACGCCTTCTCCAGTGCCGTAAATGCATGAAACTTGGACATGTGAGCAGCGTCTGTGAGAATTCGGTGGTATGCCACCGCTGCGCCGAGCCCCATGAAGCGGATAAGTGCGTCGCAACTGTCAAGAAATGCTCTAATTGCAATGGATCCCATGAAGCCACATCGGAGGACTGCCCGCGGATTCAAAAGGAAATTGCCATTTTGAAGGAGATGGTGCGCGATCACTCATCTCATCGAGAAGCCGCAGCTAAAGTCCGACATTTCAGAAAAGCATAGATACGCCAATACGGTGAGCCTCAATTATAACGTGATTTCAGGAAATTATAGCTACAGAACAGAACCGAGCTCACAACCTTCACATAACGCGCCATAAATACACACAAATATTTCAGAATATGGACAAAAGGACGATTGTCACTGTAGCTTATTGTGGAGCACTGCTCCCGTCATACAAACGCTTCAGCATCAGTTCTTACTGATGAAAAATTGCGTGTTCTTGCATGGCCCTTTCGCTTTGATGAGGCTTACTGTAAATTTCAGTTGTATAACTAATTAGTTATGCGCAATAACAGCCGTCAACTTACCACTGTGTTTTGCTTAACTTAATTTTTTATAGGATTTATATCAGCGGTCGAGCAATGATAGCAGGTAGCGCAATTTTTCTATGAAACAAAGACGCTAAAACACCGAACCACAAACCAAAGACGCTACCGTGTTTTAGCGTCTTTGTAGGATATTTGTGCTTGCTACTATTATGAATTTGTGCCAAGTATATTCCTGCTGGAGCACGTATGATGTGAGACCGATTTCTGGTCTGCTACCACCGTCAAAATTAAGCCCAATACGACCACAAACGCCACGAGCTAGTGTCCTCAATAAGGAATGTGCAGTAGGCTAAAACTTTAACTATTGTGTACAGTGACCACGTTTTTGTCCCTGAGCGCCATAATATAAAACGAAGTTGCAAAAAATTGCTTCGTGGACATGTGCGTTATAGGCATACACTTTTCCACACCATTTAGAAACTTAATTCAGTTGTATGGCAAAAGTCGTATGACAAAAAAACAACTGCCAAGCATGCACGATAGCTAAAGATTTGGCCGTCTGGACATTTAACAACTCTTTGGAATGCAAGCATCGAGATTTGTGAACAACGTCATCGCACGTTTTTGCCTTTGTATACTTCGTACTATTAGCTGTAATAGTGTTCTTGAGGGGACTATGTTAGGTATTGCCGATAATGTACACGTACGGCATAGCACTATGTCATCATGTTTGTTTTTTTTTTTTCGCTTGCTGATCTACGCACCTTCTTCGGGAATCCTCCATTGCGAGTCGTCTACGGTGACGAATCTGAAACTGGCTCCAAGAGAGGAGAAGCTGAAATAACGAAAATATGAAAGCACAAAATTGAGATGGTGGTGGAAGCTTGTTTGACCGGGAAGCGGCAAAAAAAGACGTGGTGGCGGCTGCAAAAGTAAATAATTTATCATTTCTCAAGACGGGAAGCTTGTTTGTTTGTTTGTTGCCTAAAAAATTTTGCGAGACTTGACAACAAAAAGCCGGAAACGTGTAATCTTTGTTATCTTTTGTGCTTCATGTCACATTAACTTACTAATTAGAAAGAATGGGCATAACAAATCAAGAAAATAAAAGACATGCCGGTGTAAGTAAGCGTGCCGAGCTTGAACCATGAAGCGACGAAAACTGGACGTAATACTTTCTAAAAGTTAATGCGAGCGCGAACACACGCACACACCCAGGCATCAAACACACACAGCGCTCTAACGTAATACACTGTCTCAGTGGCTAATGGCACCCTTCTGCTGAGTACATACTATCAGGTAGCGGGTTTCATTCCTACAGTGGCCACGTTTCAGTGACGTTAAAATAAAATGCCAAACGTCATGCTTTCGGTGCTCGTTACAGAATTTCTGGCTGCAAAAAATCAATCTGCAGGTCTCCGCCACGCTGTCCCTCAATCCTTTCTTACAAACACGCACTCTTTAGGTTTTTTCATCGTATTAGGTTGCCCCGCCATGGTCGTCTTGTGGCTAAGGTACTCGGCTGCTGACCCGCAGGTCGCGGGATCGAATCCCGGCTGCGGCGGCTGCATTTCCGACGGAGGCGGAAATGTTGTAGGCCCGTGTGCTCAGATTTGGGTGCACGTTAAAGAACCCCAGGTGGTCAAAATTTCCGGAGCCCTCCACTACGGCGTCTCTCATAATCATATCGTGGTTTGGGACGTTAAACCCCACATATCAATCAATCATCGTATTAGGTTGTAGAATAGGTGTGTTGCAACTGTCACTAAAATTTGTGGAGTCCTAAGGATTTGGTCTAGCCAGACATCACCGATCAAATTTCAGGATTTTTTCCCGGACTCTATTGGAACGTCCCCCAATATGTATACGTACACGCGGCAACCCGTTGCTGAATCGCCTGCGCAAATACAGTGAGAATCGTAAAAAGAGACCTCGAAAACCCGGGACCAAAGACCGCCTATCTATGGGACGGCTGCACTCACTTGGCTGAAGAGACACCGTGGGCCGTGGAGGAGACGAAGTCGGCGTAAGCGCCTGCTGCTCGCACATGCACCGCGCCACCTGCGTTGTTCACTCGGCCAGCGTGCACGGCCGCGCGGCAGATCGAGGAGAGGACGTGGTATTGGTAGGAGCCGATCACCGAGCCTGGCACCAGGCCACAGCCGGGCGGACAGTGCACCCTGAGAGTAGTCGGAAATCAACAGTGGGGCGATATGAGATAATCGTATTCGTGTGACGCATTTCTGAGTAACGCTACGCACGTTCCTGCTCTATGGACAGCCAAATCAAGCCTCTTGCGTTGAAGCGCAGCTATATGCAGTCGTCATTCACTCTTTTATGTTTTACAAAGCGTTTATTACAGCATAAATCACAACATTATAGGCAGAACGTGCTAATAAGCAACAGATAGGGATATGAATTACAAGAAAAATAGAACCAGGAACCTTTCATTTTTTTTTCGCTTGAAAGAGCTTATATATAAAATTGAGCGCAATGCTAGCGATATGTGATAACAAAAATAATAATAATAATAACTTCGATATTTCGCGGTCTAAACATGTGCCTTGACGTAAGGGGGCTGGCTCATCGCAGGCGCCACATACGTGCACAGTGGAGAAACGGAAGGTTGCGCGCTTTAGCCACTACATATCCAAGCTCGAATGAATGCCTTCTACGCTATACGGTATCGTGGACAACCATCAATTATACCTGTGTCTGTGTTAAAGCATGGACTTCATAATTTAACACAGAGAAGTTTTTTCATTTCATTCCAAGTCATGACAAACAGGCTGCATGCGTCACAAGTTACCTTGTGCGTGACGATCAGGTTTGTTTCAATTTGTTGCAACTGAGTCTGTTGCAAAAAAAAAGTATGTGACTTCATTAGAGAATATAACAAAATAGTAAGCCATGAGGAAAAAATCCGCGATTATTTTCTTCCCTACGAGGACTCAGACAACTTATATCAATTTTTCGCCCATACTTTCCCTCTGCCATTTGGTTAGCCAGATGACCTTTGTTCAGTGAAAAACATCGAAAATATATATTTTTGCCTCTTAGTCCTAGCCTTTACCTGCGCTATAGAAATCAGACAAGGTTCATTGGTATTAACGCGTCGTAGTATAAAGAAGCAACTCCTGCACAACTTGTAGTAATTATTTATGAACGGCCTCCCAGCCGTAAGACCAGGCGATTATTGTTAAAGACTCTCATCATTAAAAAGGGCACAGCTCATGTAGTTTCTATTGATAAACTCCACCTCATTATAATATTTTAATTTTCCTTAAAGGTAATGTTTAGGATATGGTCAGTGAGGGTTAGAAAGGGGGGGGGGGGTGAAGATACGTATTCAGAATATACTGAGTGTAAAAAATTAAACAAATGCATGGGCAATCATTCAATGATTACAAACAGTTCAAAAAATTCATATCTCAATATTATATTCTGTATGTACCCTGCTTACCTTACTGCCGTATCGCTGTCATCAGATAATATTTCGTTGGCTTTTGTTGAGCATGTCACTTCTGTTTCGGAAACTGGAAGAGAGGATATTGCTTTCTGTAAAGAGGATTATCATATGCGGCGCATTCGTTTTCTAGGCAAGAAGCGAGACGGTATGACAACCTGATTTCAAATAAGAGACAATATTGATGATAGTGATGATGGTGATAATTATGACGTTGAAAAAGTTTTCGCTGACTAAAAGGTTGTTGCGCAACTGGGCGGGGACATCAGTCCAGGGCTCCGCTGGTCTTTGCGGCTCGCTAAGCTTGGTCGATCGAAGCCAGCTGGCTCTCCCAATCTTCGCTAGCAAGCCACGTCTCCCACTGACTTGTTCCATATGTTGTAATAACAGAAAATAGTAACAGAGAAGAGGGAAGACGAAAAAAAAATATAGGCTATCACAAACAGCGGAATTTTCATCTTGGTCGTGAGGAATATATGTTCCGCGATCAACATAATAGAAAAAAAACAGTGAAAAAAAGCCTACTGTGGATACATAGCGGATGAGATTGAAGGCAGACATCACTTTACTATTACACACTTAACATGTTAACATGTTAACATGTTATTTGCTCAGTATTCAATCATTCGGTCAACGCCAACAAAGGTATCGTCCAACAATGGAGCACAACAGTAGTGTCTATACAAGGGACGCTAAATATGATACATTATTTTCGTTCTTTTACTCTTAGACTTTTACTCTTACCGTATGGTATACATGCGTCGGGTTGCACGATAACGCATGCATCACTTTTTCTTCATAGTGTATACAGGTATGTCACTCTTTTTCGCACGGAGGAAGTGCGTGCGCAACAATAGTGATTGTGTTGTGTACCGTGTTCTCCGTACCTCGTCTTTGCAGCGTTCTGGGGTAATTCAGAGAATTTCATCGAGGCATCGCAACGTAGCGCGTAAATTGAAATCAATTTACAAAGGTCGACGGAAGCACTCACTGCACGATCGAAAAATTCAGTTTCCTTTGGAAGCGGCAAGCAACGGTTTTTTTTATGGCTTCTGTGCTCTATGTAGTTGAGCATGGCATGCGGTCGCTAGTGTTGTGTAAAAATATCTACTTAACGAATCGTTAACTATGCGCGTGCACTGCAATGTGGAGCTTGGTGTAATATTGGATTTACAGACGCAAACTACTAGGATGTAAGGAGGCTGGAAACATACTTCGTTCCCGTTTTATTCTTGACCCAGTGAGCTCTTTCTGGCTTACTGTAATGTGAGGTCAGTCATCTCTGAAATGTTCTTAATTGTCTCATTGTCTAAGGTAGCCCTTTGTACTTCTTTCGCCATCTGACCCAGCTCCCATGACGGCCATAGGGTTGTGAAAATGATTTACACGGCGTGTGAATGAACGCGTATCCCTGAAAAATCAGGGCTCATGTTTACTAAATCTTCTTTATAAATCTGGAGAAACTGGCCAGTCATAATGTCGAACGTAACAGCAACCACGGCTAATTGCAAAAGACTGTTAATACAAACCTAAATCTTTGGTAATTCGGCCCTGCCTTAGCACAAATCTTCATATAAAGCTGCACTTTAAGCTGGTTATAAGTTCATTATTTGAGCAGGGAAATAAAAACAAGCTTGTAAAATAATTGCAAAAAGTTTGTTTCTTGTTAGAGCTCGTTTGCATCGCCATTATGGACATAGCATCAGAGAAGCATGGAAAGAGGAAAAAACGATGTAAATGGTGCAATGCAAAGCACCTTGTGTCATCGGGCTGTATGCAATAATATGGTACTAAATCATCTGACGGAATGATTTCAGCTCGTCAATTCTTTAAGAAACTTACACTTGTTGGTTTATGAAGTTTAAAAGTGGTTCCTGCACGTCTGCTCAGTATATGCTTTGGCTCTGCAAAATCAAGTGCGCCAATACAAGTATGTGAAAAAATTAGCTGTTTTAAAGTGCTACCTAACAGCTAAAACAATCTCATAAAAATTATTGCAATGGTGTACACCAGTCAATGAGAGTAAAAAAACAGTACAAATTAAGTGGCGCGTTTTTTTTTTGTTTCTGAAAGAGCCGAACGTACAATAAATGATACTCGAAAAAACACACTTTTTCTACTGACAATATGGTTGGGCCTGCTCAAACGACTTTTTTCCAGTATGTTTCTCTGCCCTAAATGCCACAAATTTATATGTGGCTAAAACCTACATAGCCAAAAATCGTAATTATTGTGGAGTAAAGTTTGTATTTGGCTCATATATATTGAAACACTTCATTTGGGCATGAATCAGATCGTAAAGTAAGTGTAAAACTGTTCGAATGTATGGTATAGCAACATTTCACTATGAAACTGACCTCATACTTGTGCTTCCGCCAGTGAAGTGCTTTGACGCATGGGCGTAATGGCGTTTACTAGAATCAAAGAGCGAGTGGCCCTTCGTGGCAATAGACGCAATATTCTGCACTGTGTTTTCTTGTTCCTGGATTTATTGAAGGCCTTGAAAAGTGTTCCAGTTAGTTTTATGCCATGCCATTTCTCACGACTTCTTAAGCGAAGAGATAAACGACCTTTATTTAGTTCATGTCTACTTCATTTCGAATATACCGTGTTGGAGGGAACGAAGGACGATATGCTGTTGCGTTAAAGTCGGAAAGAATCACTTAGATGCAAAAAGAAAAAAGCTAGGCAAGTCAGCCTCTTACTCTCACAATCGAGTTTTGTCATTAAACGTCATGTCCTTCAGTGAGTGCCAACTCGCGCTAGAAAACCTCATTATGAAACGTAAACACAATAACAAAGAAACTAAGACACAAATTAAACATTTTGGGTGGGACCATGTTGATTGTTTTGATCGTTTTTTGTTGGCGCTGTACTGGGATAATGAATCTGGATCACTTAGATTGAAACGATTGGAGTAGTTGACTCATTTTTGATTAGAAACTGCCTTTTTGAGCTCATGTTACAATAAAGAATTGCCCCATTTTGAGCAAAACTGTTCTAGAAATTCAAGATGCTTAGGGGTGCTTTACGTTTCACAGAAATTTAACCTAGTTTCGATTTCTGCATTTGGATCTTTTAGAAAAAAAACGCCTAAAGTGTTTTGTTAATTTGTAGAAAGAACACTTGTATTTTTTTAACACTCCAGTTTAAGGGCAATGATTAAAAAGTGTAAAAGGACACAGTTAAGTTCCGCTTTTGGTCTTCCACTCGCCTCGCCGGTTGCGCGATATTTGCTGCTGCCGCCTAGGAAGCTGAAGACAAGATTTTTCATCTGCTGGTATCTTGAGGAAAGGATCACTCGGACATCATTTCTACAGAGACGTTTATTTGTTTCTCTTTTTTTTTCCTGTCCCTGCACTCCTGGTTTTATTCTAAATCCCCATTCACTCTAACAATTCAATTGGAAGACAGGAATGTCTCTCTCCTCGACTCCCGGTTGGATGCCGTTGAAAGTGCCAGGCACTGAGTCCTTCCTCATCGGATCTTCCTCGAAGAACCACCGCCTCTCATCGCCGCTCAACTTCCTTCACTCCAGTTCCCGGAACAGTCGGCGTCTGGCGTCAACGGGTCGTGGAACGCACCTCCCGGGTACGTGTTTGCAACGCTGGGCTGACAGGCCATCGGTATAATTGTCCCGTGTATCAATGCCATCGCTGCCACTGGTTTCGGTTGCTACAGCGGAGCGCAAGTGCACCTTTCACCCTTGCAGCCGGACTCGGCTCTTGTCTTTAGTAAGGCGCCTCCACTAAGCCACTTGGGAGACGTGAGTCCTCACGTCCTTTCTGACCGACAGACATCCGTCATTCCACCAATTCAGTGGTACAGCTTTCGTCATGGCATTGGCTCACCATCACCGGGGAGGGTAACAATACGATGATATTCAGCGGGCGCACCAAGTTGGAACCCAACACCTCCCCTCCAACTGTGTTGCACTGTATCTATGACATGCAATCCAAGCACAACCACAGATTCACACATGTTCACTGGCTCGATACGTAAGACACCAATCGTCACTCGTACCCCATTGACTCTGTTGCGCACCATTGCTGACAAAGCGTACACCCCCCTTCCCTCGCTGTCCCTTTTATGCGTCATCGTTGAGAGTCACCAACCGCGATATTTCGTCTGCATTAGCGTTCAGAGACCCCTTTTTGTGTTCGATTTCCATGTTATACTTCTGCAGCGCCAACGCCCAGCGTGTCAGCCTCGCGCTTTGCGGAGTGGTTAGTCAGAAATTTGAGCGGGTTAGGATCAGTATGATTGTCTTGATTTTAGCGCCAAACAGCCAAGCACCAAACTTCCCCAGTGTCCAAATGATTGCATACGCTTCCTTTTCTATTGAGGCCAATCGGGTCTGAGCCACGCTAAGCTTCTTGCTCAGAAAAGCGATAGGGCGCTCCTTGCCCTCCAGATCCTGCTGTGCCAGGCGCGTAGCAACGACGCATTTAGTTACATCTGCGGGGAGGATAAATTTCATTGTTGGATCTGGGGCCTGCAATGCCGACGCCTGCACTAGACAGTTTTTCACTTTGTCAAAAGCTTCTTGCACATCTGCATTTCACGGTAATTTCTGCGGAATACGTCGGCCAGTTACGTTGGTCCGAGGCATAACGACGTTGGAGTATTCGGGCAGGTAGTCCCTATAATAGTTGGCGAGCCCTAGGAAACTATGAAGTTGTCCCTTTGTTTTGTGAGCCAGAATCTCTTTTATCACCCGGACCTTCTCTGGGTCGGCACCGTGCCTGCCTGATGCTACAATGTTCCCCCAAAATTCGACTCCTTGTTGTGAAACGATACTTGCTTACGTTGAGCGTCAACCCTGCCTTCGCCAGTGACGCAAGCACTCTGTCCGAAATGTTCCAGGTGCTCGTCCCAGCTCTCAGAGTGTATCGCGACATTCTAAATGTAAACGCAAGCGTAATGTCTATGCGGAGTCAGTACAACATTGATGACCCTCTGATAGGTGCTCGCGGTATTCTGTAATTCAAACGGCATCACTTTCTATGCGTACTGACCTGGGGGAGTGGCAAAAGCCGTACAAACGTGCGCATCTTCATCGAGAGGTCTTTGCCAGTAACTCCTGAACATGTCTAGCAGAGTTATGTACTTGACCTTCGCTACCTGGTATAACAGATCAGTCGCCTGTCTTCCTGTAGGATTCCGCCAACTGATACGCTACCACTGCCCTCGTTGGATTCTGCCACATCACAGGCTCGTAGCCGCTGGCTTTCTAGCATCAAGCGCTGCCTCTCCGTTTTCGCCTCAGCAATTTTCAATAGCAGCTGAAGCAGCGCTAGCTGCTGTTCCGACACCGTATCTGACGCACTATCATGACCCCTCATACCGCTATCAGTGACTCCCAACGCTTGCAAGCTTCCTGCCCCATCCCCGTTCATTTTTGAGTTGGCCCTTTTTCTGTCTCGCCAACTGTAACGCTTTGTCATAGCCTGCGCCAAACAAAAATCAAGAGACGCCCGCCTGAAGTAGCCTTGTGGTGTGCTCTTCTTTCTCGGAATCCAGTGAACTAGCTTTGCTTCGTTAATCCCGCAGCGTGGTAGTCAGTTGAAGGGGGTTGTTGTCAGTCTCGACCGATGCCACTCCCCGCTGACCTCCTCCGTTCAGTCATGCACATCCTGCTCGACTGCGGCCGTTAAGTTCTGTTTTGGGTCTTCCACTCGCCTCGCCGGTTGCGCGACATTTGCTGCTGTGACCAAGTAAGCCGAAGACGACATTTTTTTTTCATCTGCTGGCACTTTGAGCCAACGACTGCTCGGACATCATTTTGATAAAGACGTTTATTCGTTTCTCTTTTTTTTTCCGGTCCCTGCAACCCTGGTTTTATCCCCAAACTCTCCATTCAAGCACACTTATAATCCAATCGGAACACAGGAATGCCTGTCTCCTCGACTTCTGTTTGGTCCCCGTTGAAAGTGCCAGGCACAGAGTTCTTCCTCCTCGGATCTTCCTGAAAGAACCACCACCTCCCGCTGCCGCTCAACTTCCTTCACTCCGGTAACCGGAACACTCGGCGTCAGGCGTCGATGGGCCGTGAGAACGCACCTCCCGGGTACGTGCCTGCAACGCTGGGCTGACAGGCCATCAGTATAGTTTGTCCGTGTATCAATGCCGCCGCTGCCACTTGTTTCAGTTGCTACAGCGGAGCGCAAGTGCACCTTCCTCCCTTGCAGCTGGACTCGGCTCTTGTCTCCAGTAAGGCGCCATCACTAAGCCCCTTGCGAGACGTGGGTCTTCGCGTCCGTTATGACCGACAGTCAGCCGTTGTTCCGCCAATTCAGTGGTGCCGCTTCAGTCATGGCGTGGGCTCACCGTGAGTGAGGCAGGTAACTATATGAAAGTATTTGGCGGATTAACCAAGTTCGAACACAACGGACACGATGTCACTAGTGGAATGCACATTCAAAGTTTGCTGGGAAGCGTGGTGCTCGCTAAGTTGTGCTGTACGGCGCGGCACTCACAGCTAACAACCATTCCTCCTCCCTTCATCCTGTTTTAATGTGGGTTAACATAAATGTGAAGGCAAAAAGTATCATCTTAAGAATACTGGCCACAAGCCATGAAAGAAAGCTGATGTTTGACAATAAAAACCATTTATACGCTACCGGTCTAGCCTCGTAAGACTGCTGATTGCAGGGTAACAGCCGTGTAATGCATACACACACAATAGATATCAATAAATAAAACTTACTTGCAATATATGAAGTGTGTGTTAGGCCAACATACATCAAGACTCTTATAGGTGGTTGGATTCTTATCGATATTTAGATCAGCCGTTAGTTTCAACCATATAAAGCTGCTTTCTTTATCCAAACTGCTTATGCATGTGATATATCTGCGTGATTATCGCTACATTTAAAATCTTCCCTGTTTGCCAGACAGACCTTTGAGGCAGGATGGAGGCGAAGCCGTCCAAGTGCCCTCGTGGGTACACTCCAGCGACTTTGCGCCAATGACTTCATATCCGTCGGCGCATGAGTAGGTCACAGTGGTGCCGTTGTACTGGATCTCTCGCGCACTGGTCGCGGCGCCATGCACCTGCGCCACGCTCCGAGCCACGTCGGGTAATGGAGGGCATGGCACCTGCCTTTCTGCGTAAGGGTCGCATAAAGAAATGACAAGTAAGGACATAAAAACGAAGAAAAGATGGTGGAGAAACTGAATCCTGCACTAGTCGTTGCAAGCCTGTGAAACGTATAATGCGAAGTAATTGCTCTGTCGTCTGGCGCTATTAGTAAAATAGGATCTTCTCAACGCTTTTCTCGATTTTTCTTTTTTTTTAGCTCAGAGAGTTCACACTAGGCTTGCATTCTGCTCTGTGTGTCCCTGGTAACGGCGAAATTAGAGTCACTACATGGAGGGAGCCTGAGAAAGAGTGCATGGAAGGAAATTAGCGAGCGCTATAGTAGGGCGCAACGTGAGTCGTTCCAAAATAAGAATGGGGGTTTCGCTTGAGGCTTCAGTTACAAAAAAAAGACAAAAAGCATAGACTAGAAAGCAAACAAGGCTTTCATGTAGCCTACTAAGTTACTACCGCATGGGGTCACATAACTTGAACCGACCCAAACACCATCTCTAAACCCATAAAAGGACACTGACGCATTTATTCCTTTCCCTCGACGACTATTACGTCGTTAAGGGGCTGCTTTTATAACAGTCATTTATATGATAGCTTCAATCCAGCGCTCAGATTAAGGCTCGTATGAGTTGTCTATTCAACACGCCAAGCTGAACAAAAGCTTAATACTCGACCACTCAAGTTCATTGATCATACAGCATAACCATTGAGAACCCTAATTTCAAGTGAAGCCATAAGATTTCAAGGGATCCTGTTACCATAACCCCACAGCGGGTGTGATATTTTTGTAAAATTAAAACGCTAATCATATAGAGTAGCGTGAATAAATTAAGGTCCTCTGTACAAGCCCACCCCTCATACATTTTTTTCATTCGAAAAAGAAAAAATACAAGAGGAGACGCAGCATATAGATGGTGGTCTTACCACAATAGGGTGGCACTCCATTCCAAGAGCCATCATTCTGGCAGTTGATGGTGCCTGCACCGATCCTCTTGAAGCCAGTTGGGCAGTTGTAGTGGATAATCTTTGGTAAGTTTGGCGGTGCCATAGTAGCTAAGACACCTTGCGGATGAGCTGGTGGGGGGCAGCCTGACAAGAATACAGCAGAATATGGGCAACGCAATAATAACGATCACATGTAATCCAATTTAAAAAAACATGACGTGTAAATTGTCCTAATTGGGTGAGTATTAATAAACAAACGAGGATGAATAAATCTGTGCACACCCCTTCCGACGCCCATGCTCACAAATCCAACAATAACGCATGTTTACTTTACGGCTACTGGGTAACATAGCAAAAAACTAATAGAGTAGAGAAAAACAAAACTAATACAAAAAACGCGGCTGATCCCCCTTTATAGGAATCGCTGTAACATAAAAGTGAAACATGTTATTTAGCGTTTATTGTGCATTGTTTCAGAAACAGCAACCAATTGCGAAGTCACGTTAGGAACGACAAGCAGCTCGAAACTTGCAGCGCACACCTGAAGCAGAAAGTACACAAGAAATTAGCATACATAAAACGAGCGCGAACTAACAACTGCCACAATTCTTTCTGCGTTGTGTGTCAGGAGCACGCTCAATTCGTAAACGCGGCCATGGCAGCGTGCGAAGTGACCTTCGCCCTCTCCCGAATTACAAGTCTGAAAAGCGTGTGCGCAGGAGAGACGACGCTCCGTGGGACCAGAAAGGGAGAGGGGGGAGTGCTTCGCAGATCCGGCGACCTTGAGAGCACATCGAATGCGAGACCGTCACGCCATCTCGCCACTCATAACAAAAAACGCCCTAAAGTTTCGAAGCACTGAATGCTGCCAAACGGATCAATGGCTTGCCATTAGCACAACTGAAAACATACGCTTTCTGGCATGGTCGTTAGCGCCGTGCGCTGAGAGTTGGGAAGTTGCTGGTTCTATTAAAACGTGACAGATTTTAACCTTGTTACTTTTTTTTCTTTCCAATCTCGTAATACGTATTTTTCAACGTCACTGTCATGACTGAAGTATGTCGGCAGAGCCGTGGTGGAGCCCGGCATAAATTACATTTAGGTAAAATATTTGCGAGTAAGCTACCGCTGTACCAAAACAGAAATTGAGGCAGTAACATGATCCTCAAGGCGTGTTAAAAGGCTCATTTTAACGGCTGAAGAAGACACCGTTTCAGTCTATGCACTACACCCCTGCCCTGTTCACTCCGCAAAGAAATAAATATGTGAACAGCGTAAGATGCATGATGATCCCCTTACCATCTCTGATTTCGCAAAGTGCACCAGAGAACCCTGGGAGACACCGGCAGTTGCCTGTGTCTTTGTCGCATACTCCTCCATTCTGGCACCTGCAATCTGCATCAAAACGACGTGCTTCAAAACAAGTACTCACGTTGCACGTTGCCAAACTTTGCTACGCAGGTGCACAAGCGTGGAATTTATTGAAAAGCAAATCACAATCAGTTCTCGTCTTCACCTATATCAAATGTAGATATTTACTTCTATTTGAATTTGACATTCATTCCTTGCGGAAAGAAAAAAAAAACTTATCCGCGGCCAGAAATGGCTAGCGTACCTCGCCAAACCAGTGCCGTAGTCATGGACGCAATAGAGCCAGGCCAGTTAAACCTTCTTGGATCCGAATGAGCCGCTGACAGTTCCAGCCGGATTTCCGAAATCGATGCTATAGTAATTAATGCGGACAAAATATTTCGCCATGAAAAAGGAGCAGTTGGTCCTTTAGTGATGTCACCAAAGCTCTGGATTACTTCACGTTGAGAAACTAATAAACGTTACTCTTATTATTTGGAGTAAAATCCTGCTGTCCGAAAAGCGAATACATCACGTTTCATTGCTTTCACATTGAATAGTAAGTAATTAACTGTCTTTTCTGCACTTGTAACTAACAATTTTTTTCTTCTGGAACAGACACAAACCTTCGGCAACAGACGCAGTTGCATTGCCTACATTGTAATAATGAGTCTAGCAGTAACAACAGCTGTGTCAACAGTAGCGATTGAAAGCACCATTATATGAAGTCCAATGGGGCAGGCCTACTACCTTGAAAGTGTTGCCCTAGAAGTTGAAATGCTACGAACTTGTTGCGAATGTATCGGTGATCCGATTATGGACTTCTGATGTTGTTTTCTTCTTCAATGTGTACACATCAGACACATGGCTGATAGGAATATGAAGTGGGGTATTCACATATTGTCACTATATTCACATAATGTCAATCACATGGTGGTTTGGGGACGTTAAACTTCACATATCAATCAATCATCAGACGTGTCAAACTGCGACATCATGTGCCTGTGCAAGGCAACCAGCGAACATAATGTTTGCAGCAGACCGGCATGCACTGAGTACCACGCTCTCGCAATCACCGCCAGTATCGGCGAGTTTGCGGCCGTCACGTCTCGCCGCAAGAATATACCACCACAACTCCTGTATTTATGCTGCACTGATAATGGCTGTCTATTATGGTTTGTCCGCAAACTTCTCGAAGAAAATGTGAGCGGCCTGCGGCTAGGCTTCTTGGGGCGTAGAGTTGAACCACGGGCTGGCGGACGGCCATGCGGGAGCCTGTGGTTAGCCCCGAGCGCTAATATTCACTGAATGCAACCACTCGGCGAACATGTTGAGGAGGAAGAGCAATGACAAGAAGGGGGACAACATTTATTCGCCTTTACTTATGGTCCTAAAGATTTGGCAATAGTGTATATATGCTATGGGCTTTCACAACCCCAAAATACTGTTTTAAGAACCCATTATAGTTCATTACTGAGCTTTAGTGTTCCCCGTGGTTGCTTCTAACGAGTTGTAATGCTCCTTCGGAGAATGCGAGGCTGACTTTAAAAGTCCTAAGCAACTCGCAAGAGAGTCCCATAGCTCACCATGACCATGCGTTCACTGGAAACTTACCCAAAGTGCACCATACACCATACTTTCTGGGTGGGCAGGTTTCGCACCCTTTGAGGCCTGGCGCACACGTTTGACAGTGCGCATAGTTTGGACAGACCTTGTCGTAACTGTCCCCGTCACAAGGTCGGCACCGAAACTCGAAGCGACGGACGTAGCTGCATCTGCAAACAGAATTTTTGAATACACGGAAATTTACCAATGCCTCGTTAGCCATAACCTAATAAACAGTCATATTGATCAGCCGGGCAATCTGATTTAGTTTATAATAGATATAAATGTTGGAGGAGACGTTGACACAGAGTGTTTAGTCTTATTGTGATGAAGTACTTTCGGAGCATGGATTGAAAGAGAAGTTCGAGAAGCAGCAGTATAATGTTGATCATGAAAATCAATCAAGATTTGCACATGTGTAAGCAATATGATCAGATACAGATTAAAATGGCAGGACATTCCACACCTATATGACCAAACCATGACCCCCGATTGCCTTCTAAACTAATGAAGTAGTGATAAAACAAACTTGCAGGCTAGTTGGTTTATATCGAACGAGTGGCGTGCATCGCTAGTACGAAGGAAGAGAGAAGTAAAAGGAGACAGGAAAGAGCGCACACTCCCAATGTTGGAAGTCTGCGTTCTTTCCTGTCTCCATTTACGCTTTCTTCTTTCGTGCTTGCGCAGCACGCCACCCGTTCAACAAATAGCCCCGCACTTGAGCCCGACGGGGCAGTCACCGGCCATCTTGCAATCATTAAAAACTATTCGGCCCCCCCATTGGTGCACACTGATAGTAATCTGCCTTTCAGGGGATCAGTCACCCTGCCTTCTACAAGAAAATGTATAGTCTAGAATTAGGAACAGATAGCATAAAAATTCAAGCACAATTTTTTAAGTAGCACATTTCCAAAGGATAAAAGCTAGAAGAAAATCCTCTAAGATGGATGAGAAACTATATATTAAACCAGAAAAAAAAATGCACTGCAGAAGAAATGTTTCTGAAGAAATCAATGCATGGGAAAGCAACATTGCTTGTCACACATTTCAGTTATTATTTTAAAAAATCTATTCCAAAGGTTTTATGCGTGAAAACCCTCAATCTGATCACGAGCTCTTGCTCACTTTTTTTTCGTTAACAATGCGTGATACCTATTAGCTGGCGGTTTCGGTATGCAAAAACAATAGCGTTCCTGTCTTGCTTTCTTTTTTTTGGTGGAGGGTAGGTAGTGAAATTGGTTACACATGCGCTGCTCATGTTGTTTTATCGCACTGCAGCGTGACTCACCCGTCTACTTTGACGTTCACTGTTGTCCCGCTGGAACCGCAAGGACAGTCGTGCGACTCGTTATGGCAGAAACCCTTGATGTCGACCGAGTAAATGGAATGAATCAACGCAGTTAACACTGCGGCGCCTGAAAGTTTGCAAGCAAATAAAAAACAGTAAAAAACAAAGAACGTACACTTGAACTCGTACAACTTCGCAAGACAGCAGGAGACGAACAAACAAAATAAATTGATTGATTGATTGATTGATTTGAGGGGTTTAACGTCCCAAAACTACGATATCATTATGAGAGACGCCGTAGTGGAAGGCTCCGGAAGTTTCGACCACCTGGGGTTCTTTAACGTGCACCTAAACCTGAGCACACGCGCCTTAAACATTTCACCTCCATCGGAAAAGCAGCCACCGCAGCCGTGATTACATCCCGCGACTTGCGGGTCAGCAGCCGAGTACCATAGCCACTAGAGTACCACGGTGGGGCCAAAATAAAATGAAACAAACAAAAAACACATGGTACTTGAAGGTTTGAGAGATCGAAGGAAGGAGACTAGTCGAACCGTTTGTAGCTTGGGAGCCTAACTGAGTAGAATAAACACATTGACTCGTTATCCGGCAGTCATTAGTGCAGCGTTCGATCTAATATACGATCAAACAGAACAGCGCAAAAAACTAAGGCACACAATGGAGAACTCAGTCCCTGTTTCATTTCACCATGCTAACATTCATGAGATTAGCATGCATGAAATTATTCAAGATTAGAAATAAGACACGACTTCATAAATTTCACTGGACAACTAATACAACTTCCAGGCGAAGAGTCGGTGCTTCGAAAGCCTAACTGAGCCTCCCAATACTGTGGGTGGTTTTGAACAGGCGAAGTTTGTATTGTCGAAGTACGAACGATGAACATATGTGGAGGAGCACTTGATTTAAATGTCTTCTTGTTTAACCTTTTAATATTTGTAGTAAGACACCATGTAGGTAATATATAATGCAATTGTGGGAAGCTTTTGTGTAATACTTTCCAGTCGAAAGTGCATAAAATGCACCAGAATTACTGCAAACAGGCATTTATGAAATTCGTGAAAGCAGTTGCAAGGCAATGTCATGGTCCCCATTCAATATCCATGCAACATGATTGATAGAGTTTTTTTAGGGTGCAGCACTTCAAAATAGTGGTGCTGAACTTGCACACCTTAATGATTTCCGCTTGCTCAGCACGTCTCATACTCTGTTGCATCAAATTCCTCATTACCACCACTGAGAGCGTAACTAGCATGGGTGGCGCTTATAATCTCATTACAAATTGGTGATGCCATAGATTAGTGTTAGTTCACCGACATGTTTCTTCGAATGCTGGCTAAAATTATTCAAGATAAGGGATTAGATGTGAATTCATATACGATAGCGGCCAAGCTTTTTTGTACTGGAGTATAGTTGCGCGCATAAAAACTTGCGCTACAATACCTACACAGCTATTACAAAATTTTATTGTTAAGTTAGTCACCGTAAGAGACACGTCTTTCTTGCACACATGAAGTCAGCCATGGTTTTTTAAGCATAACATGCAGGTTTGAACTTGCACCAGTTCGACCACAGCACCAGTTGGACAAACACGGACGTACATGTGGTGTTAAAAACATTGACGTTCAAGCTTAGAGTTTTTCGAACTCTATTTTCTTATAGCCTGGAAACATATTTACTGCAGTGCACTTGACACTGATTCCTGGCTACTTATTACTCTACACCAGCGCAAGGAGAAAGACGTAAAAATGCTTTGCTTTGAGTGCCGTGGCTGTCTTGATAAATTTAATCACACTGTATCCCCTATATTCCTTATTTATTGGTTAAGAGAATGACAGCACACATACTACACCACTCACAAGGGTCTTGAAATAACTCTGTCTGTTCCACTAAAATTCCATCCTTAATATCATCAATATTTACTTCTTCTATAACAAGCCTCCTGGCATTCTATTCACCCAATGCCTTGTCATATACATTTGACGTCATTCATGGATGAAAATTTGAAATGGTAGCAAAATTGGAGAACGATGAGTGCTACGCATGCACGCCTAACTGGAGGTAAGAAAGAGATAACATTAAGTATGTACATTACATCCTTCATTGGATGGTTACGATTACAGGATAATTTTCTCTATCGCCTGCCTTAAATACGTCAATGCGATTCCACAACACTTCATTCCCACCTCACGCCCCGCCGTGGTGGTCTAGTGGCTAAGGTACTCGGCTGCTGACCCGTAGGCCCCGGGATTGAATCCCGGCTGTGGCGGCTGCATTTTCGATGGAGGCGGAAATGTTGTAGGCCCGTGTGCTCAGATTTGGGTGCACGTTAAAGAACCCCAGGTGGTCGAAATTTCCGGAGCCCTCCACTACGGCGTCTCTCATAATCATGCGGTGGTTTTGTGACGTTAAACCCCACATATTAATCAATCAATCAATTTCCACTTCGCTAAAGTATGCATGTAAACTGGTTCGATGTGCTATACCACTCGTAAATGCAGGATCACCCACTGTTTTAAATACAATAAGCCTTAGACGAGGAGTTCCCGGTGTCAGCGTTTTCGCGCGTACGCATTTAATAAATCAATACAATCCCATCCACGCTTCAGATTTCGTGAAGTAGACATTAGTAGTCCCGCGGACTTATACTTATTTTTTTTTACTATCTTGTCATCAGCCAGTGTATTCGGGAGGCTGTCATCAGTTATTATGGCGTTCTACGCATTTTACTGAGACCCATGCCGACAGATAAAAAGCTCGCTACACCCGTCCGTTCTTGTAACAGAAACCGAACTGAGCCTATCGCCCAGGCTGCAGCCGGCAGTCAGCACGTGCGCCACGAGGCACGACATAGGAATATACAGTATATCAGTAACCCTAGCTTAGAAGCGCGTATCATGTTCTCGGCCACTAAAGAAATGTGGCTGTCCATATAATGGTGATCTAGGGAGCCCGAATGCAGTGGAGACGCATTTTTTTATAATCGCTCACTTATAACATTTCGAGGATGACGTAGTGAGTGGCGGAAAATAAAACCAGTGCAACGTTAAAAGACAAGAAGGGAGAAGAGTATGTTTGGAAATGAATGTGTATTAACGACACTTTAGTTTCAATTAAACGAAAATGGGCAGCGCATGTAGTCACTATAATCACTGGTCATTTAGAGTAACAAACTGGATTGCAAGAGAATGCAAGCGCGGCACGGGAAGGCAGACAGTTAGGTGGGCAGATGAAATTAAGAAGTGTGCATGTAAAACGTGGATGCAGTAAGCACATGACCAGGTTAATTTAAGAACAATGGGAGAGGCCTTTGCCTTGCAGTGGCTGTCATATGATTATAATGATGATTTATTTTGCTTCCTAATTTTCAACGTGCATTACGAGTGGCGTGGTAGTGATGCTCCAGCCTCCGAGTTCATAAACAACTATCTTCTGTTAACGTGCATGCAACATTTCAGCACACAGGTGTCTTGCTCTAGCTATCTTCTCAATTTCGCAAAACAGTCGCTTTCGCTCGCTCTATTACACCGTGGAAATACAGCAATTTATCGTTTCGCCTATTTACTACTTTTCGCGCGCAGCAAGTATCTCGTATCGTGCTATTTATCTTACAAACAGAAACTGTTAATGTTTTGTCTTATTTGTTGCATCCCTCTTTTTTGTAATGATGTTCACACGGTGGAGAAAGAAAAGTGGTCCTCTACATTCATTTCGGTAAGAAGAAAATAACGGTAATTTCCTGCAGCGTACTCACGTATTATCGACGAAATCATGTCAAATGGCACTGTCCACGCGCTGGCCAGCCCCTTAAACTCAGCGCACGCCGAACCCCAACGTGACGCTCGTCACAGCTTGGCAGTATGTATAGCACACGATACACCTCTTCCAGAATGAAAAGGGCGTGCTTAAGTGATGTGTAGAAAATGACCCTCTCCTTGCTTGTCCTGACGTAAGACTCGTCTGAGATGCCCGCTGCCTTCCCAGAAGAACCCCCTTCATTGCGCCGCGTGCGAGCAACACGACCGCCCGACGTTGCGGTTCATTGCTCACCGTCCAACGAGCACAACAACTTTCTCCGATGCTCCGGCAGTGTTTGTTCGTCTTTTCTGAGATGAAAGTCGGGTCAAAGACTGTTCGTTCTCTTACTAGCACACTACGCGTTGTAGCTGACCTTCTCAAAGCGGGTGAGCGCATAGGCAAACCGGATTCCTTCGTTCCCGTCACAGCGGCACGTGCTGGCGGGCCGAGATATCGTGCAAGGTGGCGGGGGATTTCCTGCTCAGAGGAGGAAACGCCCGCTGATTGTCCGCTAGTCAGCCGCAGACATAGATTACGACGCGCCGCCATGAAGACACGAGGCCGAGGGTGCACATCATCTCGTGGCTTCTCGAGGAGAAACCTTCTCTTCACGAAGGCGGGTGAAAAGCTTATACGCTTTCTCAAAAGGAAGTGAAACACTATACGTAATGTTATAATGAATGGTATACTGGCGAAGAAGCTCCACTAACACGGAAGTGGGCTCATCTTTCGCTACACCAAGTTTATCGTCGTTTCAGACTTTCCCAACATGCTTGTTCTCGCAGCATGATGGGAAAACATGGTTGTACGATGTGTTCATACTTTCACATTTCTCTTGAATATAGAGCTACGAAATTAGATACCAGTACTTTTCTAAGATCAAGAGATCTCCAATTTTAGAATGCCGTGCCACTTCTTTAGTTAGAAGCACGCCATTTGAATGATTACCAGGAAGCTTTCAACTGATCACCCCCCCCCCCCCTTTCAAACAGATAACAGCAACGCTCTGAAAAACTTTGTGACTATGTCGCTGGTCAATACAACATGAACCTAAAATCCTATAATTAGGAGATGGACACTCAAGCTTACATCATAGTGTGCACATGGTCCACAGAATTGAAAGAAAATGTGTGTAAACTGTGATATCAAAATGACGCTTCTGTCGCCGACAAGGTATTCAGGCTATTTTTGTGGAATATGTGGTACAAATGAAGAGGTAGTTTACTCATCTCCATTCATGAAAGCAGGCAACAGCTACACAATGTAATTGATCATTCTTATAAAAAGCTACGACACTGCAAGTTTTGTTTTGACTCTGTTCGCCGTGAACATTGATGACTACGAAAAATATTGTAGCACGTGATTACAAACAGACATTGTTTCATCAGTATTCGAGGTTTTCATATTTACTACATACGTTGACGCCTTATTGCCATGTCGAAGTCCCGCCTGCATTGGATGCACACGGAGCCTTTCAAACGTTGGTTCACCACCTACGGCTCGGTACAGCGGACGCAAAGCACTGTCTATATAGCTGTACGATATTGCATGCATGAAGCTGTGTATCTCATGGGCGTCAGTAGTCACCTAGGTCCCTGGTTAACACATTCTTTGCAAAAGCGAGCACTGATGGTTCCAAACATATTTATCGAAACGATATTATCGAAAAACATTTAGAACAGTATTTATCATTCAGTGTCAGCACAATGTATGCATTTGGTTTGAGCTGTCAGTGTCCCGGTAAAGGTTGGGGCTACACATGTTATAGAGCGACCATTTTCTGTGTACGTGTGACTGGACATGGAAGTACCTTTAGTGTTGTTATTTGACTGGCATTCATTTACCTGTGTTCTTTTAGAAGCATGCTCCTAAAGCTCGCGCCATGTCCGGTGGCCGTCAGCGTGTACACCAGTGTTGCAACTCTACACTTCTCCGGTCACCGCTGTGGTCGCCTCTGTGGTGATTCCAACAATGCTCGCTAGATGGTGCACCATCATTCAAGACATTAGGAGCTCACGGGAATACACCAAATCAGAGAGTACAAGGTAATATGGGATGGACATCATTCGAGGGCAGGGAAGCTAGCAGCAAGACAAAGTTTGAGGAGCGATTGAGAAATTGGGGGAGGAGCGTTAGGCTTGGAAGGTTTTAAGCTATTTGTACACGGGGAATGATGATTCAAAATAGAGGAAGCGAACCAGAAAATTGACGGGTAAATACTTAGAAAACAGCAGGAGGCTAAACCAAAAAGAACTATGGGTTAAAAAGAAGGTGAAGGAAACGGAGACCGACATGTGCGGAATAGACATGATTAAGAAGTTGCCACGAGAAATCATTTGAACTTTTAAGCAGGAAATTGCCAAGGAAAGGATCTATGATAATCCTCGGGGTAGTTATCTACTGTTTGAGGCCAGGACGGGAGTATTGCGAACCAAGACTTATTGGGCCAAATACGAAAGGCTAGACACAGTATGCAGCGCGTGTGGAGAAGAGGAGGAAACTACCGAACACTTGATAATACTCTGTAAAGGGTTTCACCCTATAGTACAGGATGATGGCGCAAAGTTTTTCAAAGCACTGGGGGTTTAGGGACAGGGAGGGCAAAATAGACTTTAAGTGGGTAGAATTAACTAGACGGAGGTTATCTGATTGGTGGCTAAAATCAAGGCACGAGTGAAAATTAAATCTTTCACTGAAAAGTGCCAGTCCTTAACTTCACTATTTAAAACAGAAAAAAAAAGATAATTCCAGTTTTTGTTCACGGCTAGGTGGCGTTAGCCGCTGCCCGATCTAAAGGGTTCAGCCATATCAACTATCCATCCATTCATCGGTTTTCTATGGCCCTCGCGCTCGCCTTCTCGCGAATACATCGACTTCGTTCTTGTCGCTTTGTAGGCACGGCAGCACGTGACAAGTTTCTACGATGAGCGTTACGCATGGATACCGATATCCTCCAAATCCCCCTCACCTGCATGCTCTCCCCCCCGTTGAAGAACACGTGATAGATCCACGTCTGTCATTTATGAGCGATTTGACTCACGGCGACGGCCAGTATAGCATAAAGGCGCAGATGGCTAACGTGCCGATTGACGCGGCCAACACTGTGCAGTCGGTAGCGGGACGTGCCCACCGCTGCCTTCGACGTACACATCGTGCGCCGGACCGTTAACAAGCTTTTCTACAGAAATGGTCTCACCAAGAAACGCCCCGTGCACCTCCGAGCAAGCTCCTCTAACACCATTCGTTTTGTTGATATGGCGGTAATTTTATGTATAACATGGCTTTGAGACTGAATATCTGACTCATTTATACGAGCTGACTATAAGTCTGTGCGCATTTTCGTGCGAGTTGTCCTGACGCGTTAGCATTAAAGAGCTTGTTTCGCAGAAATTTTGGTGTCGGCGTCAGTGTCGTTGGTTGTGAGCGAAAAATCAGCGTGGTCTACGAGCGAGAAATTGAGAAATATGAAAATAAATTATAAAAATGTTCCATAAGACTAAGAATGAAACACCAGCCTTCTGCATGCGTAAAAAGTGTTTTACTACGGAGCCACGTCATTGCTGGAAGCTGCCTCGAAAAAAAAAAACACTATATTGGTAATATGCAGTCAAAAAGACTACCTCACGTAATGTGGCGTGGCAGAAGCGTACCATCGCGCCAGGCGGTAAAACATGTGAATTGCGCAACAACTGGTTGTTATAAAGGCCCACTGATTACAAAGAGCTCGGGCTTATTTAATCATCAGCATCAACATAAGCATCAACGAAGTTAACATCTGCGTAGGTTCGCTTGTTGCATACGGACGCGAAGTGGACCCTTCACTGACTCGCGAAAGGTATGATTATAGCGTCATGGACACTTCGCAACTGCACATGCAGTAGGCATTCTAGAGCACTTTGAAATGCATGACGATACTCACAAAGACGCTCATTTCCTGGCAGCATGGTTGTGGCATTCACCGAAAACCAAAACAAAGCTACCGATTGAAAAGGTGATGTGACCAGCGCCCGATTACGCGATCGAGCTGTACTCTTGAGTCGCAGCTCAAGCGGCGTGCCAGTTTTTTCAACAGGAAAGCTGTTAAACTTCGAAATAAAATCAATGACCACTAAAAACTACCATAATCACGAAAGGGTGCGTGTCATAGAAGTTAGGCAACTTTCACTACTGTTCACTGGTCCGCTAAAAATGGAGATGGCAACAGTTAGCCCAAGAAATGGCAGCGAAGCGAGGGTGGCGAGTCGAAGACTCCGAGTACGGATGATGAGAGAATACTAGAGAACGGGAAACGCAACGGCCTACACAGACCGCGATGTGCAAATGCTCGGCTTCAGCGCGAATTTCCGTCTCTGGAGTTAAGACATCCGTGTCGTGTCTGCGACTGTATGTAGTTTAACTCTAACTTCATTGAGCTGAGAACTAACATCGAAACAACCTAGAAGCACCTAGTAGCAACCTATAGAAGCAACCAGATTTAAACTTTAGAATTGTCTAGTTTAGCTGTTTCAAGCCTTGCACGATTTAGTGCGATCAGCGGTGCTTTTTGTTTTCATGGTCATTACCTTCAGTAATTTGCACGTTACATAATAATTGCACCCATATAAAGACGCCAGAATCTTTTACAAAAACATATATATAATATCAGTAAATAAACTTTATTTGAAAATAAAATTAGGCGATGATGGTTGAGCTTTCAGCTAGGGTCTCAATGGCATGCCATGCCATGTGGTTGTCTCACAACACCGTATATAGGAATTCGTAATATGTCAATTGCCCTGCCGTGGTGCTCTAGTAGCTAAGGTACTCGGCTTCTGACCCGCAGGTCGCGGGATCGAATCCCGGTTGCAGCGGCTGCATTTTCGATGGAGGCGAAAATTCTGTGGGCCCGTGTGCTCAGATTTGAGTGTACATTAAAGAACCCCAAGCAGTAGAAATTTCTCGAACTCTCTACTACGGCGTCTCTCATAATCATATGGTGGTTTTGGGACGTTAAAACCCACATATGAAATCAGTAATATGTGAATGCCTTACTGGGCACTCTCACGTTGTAGTGTGGGTTTGTCAGAACACCATAGACCATACGTCCAGAAATCTAATGGAGTGTGATCTGTAAAGGTGGTGTAGGTTAGTGAATTTTTTTGCTCAACTACTTCATCTGTCCTTTTGGCCTTGCGTGTATGACCATATTGATTTATTGATATGTGGAGTTTAACATCCCAAAACTACCATATGATTATGAGAGACGTCGTAGTGGAGGGCTCCGGAAATTTCGACCACCTGGGGTTCTTTGACGTGCTCCCAAATCTGAGCACATGGGCCTACATTTCCGCCTCCATCGGAAATCCAGCCGCCACAGCCGGGATTCGATCCCGCGACCTGCG